TCTTACTGAACTGTGGGAGTAATCATGGGTAAGAATTTATATTAATTTCATCAAAACTATTTCATTATGGATCTATATATGGATAGAAAATACCCTGAAGTCAGTGAATACTGCTGCTGAAGAAGAAGAAGAAGAAGAAGAAGAAGAAGAAGAAGAAGAAGAAGAAGAGGAAGAAGAAGAAGAAGGAGGAGGAGGAGGAGGAGGAGAAGAAGGAGAAGGAGGAGGAGGAGGAGGAAATAATGGTGGTGATGATGATGAAGAAGATGTTTATGATGAAGAAGAAGATGATGATGATTTTGTGTATGTGCCCTTCTTTGGCCTTTGAAGAAGTATTCTTAGCACTTCTGCTGTATGACAGTAAGAATAAATAAAATAATGTGAATATCTAGTTCTTGGTATTCACTTGCCAACTGTTTTTACTATATTGGGCTTGGTAAGGCTAGACAACAAATATAACAAAGAATGAATTTTGAGGTTTGTCTGTATATTTGCTGTGTTTTTTTCCTCCTCAAATAGTCAAGAGGTGATTGTTGTCAAAGGAGTGGTGCTAGTTGATGGACTGACACCAGTAAAAGGTCTGAGCTCCCAACCAATGACGAGAGCTTCCTGGCATCAAGAATCCACACAGGTCACTAGACAAGACATGCAGCTGGAAGCCTTTTGTTAGGCTCTTTGAGAATATCTTTTTTCAATCTCTGGGGGTTTTATCAGCCTCCTTCCCTCCTAATTGTGCTACCATTTTGGCTTGTACCTCTTCTACTGGTAGATATAAAAAGCAAAACAAAACAACAACAAAAAAACAAATATAAAGCAATGTACCCTCTGACCACCCAGCCACTCCTAAGTGTTTGCTGTTGGAGGGGTGTATTTGTTCTCCACAGAATCAATATGTTCTATCAATATGTCTCTGGAATGATAAAAAGAAAAATTAGCCAGGTGGTGGTGGCACACAGCTTTAATCCCAGCACTCGGAGGCAGAGGTTTGTGGATTTCTGTGAGTTAGAGGCCAGCCTGATCTACAAAGTGAGTTCCAGGACAGTCAAGACTGTCTTGATACCCAAAAGAAAGACATTATCCTGTTTTAAACTTGGGAAATTGCCAGCCTTAAAATGTTTTCTGTAAGCTGGTAGTGGTGGCACTCGCCTTTAATTCCAGAACTTGGGAGGCAGAAGCAGGCAGATCTCTGTGAGTTCAAGACCAGCCTGGTCTACAAGAGCTAATTCCAGGACAGCCTCCAAAGACACAGAGTAACCCTGTCTCAAAAAACAAAAACAAAAACAAACAAATTAGCTTGGTGGCAGATGTGTTAATTCTAACACCAGGGAAGCAGAGTCAGGAGGGCCATGAATTTCAGGTCACCTTGGCCTACATAGCAAAATAACATCTCAAAACCAGAGAGTGAGTAATGATGGCTTGGCTTTTAAAATATTGTTTTCCTTCAAAAGAACCATATGCTTTTATATATGTGCATTTCCTAATTAAAAAATTGATCTTGTTTTCTATGATTCTTCTTCAAGAAGCTCATATTGACACCCTCAGGTGTGTCTTATATTATTCTTTGTGCATCTCTTCTTCTTAATCCTTCTGCTTAAGCCTATATTAAAATACCTTTATTAACCCTCTCCTCAAATGAAAGTTTATTTAATAACATGAAGCATATCCTAAACACAACAGTCCTTCATTCCATCCTGTGTTATTTCCTATTGTCTTTCATTAGTTCAATAATTTTTCATCTATTTCTTTAAAATTTACATTCTTCTCTCATATTTATATGTGTGTACAGTTCTGGGCACATGCATGTACACACACACACACACACACACACACACACACACACACACACACACCCCACAGTGTACAAGTTGTCAGAGGACAACTTGTAGGAGTTAGCAATCTTCTTTCACTATGTGGGTTCCTCAGAATGAATTCAGTCAGTCAGGCTTGGTACAAGTCTTACCTGTTGAGCCGTCTCACTGGTCCTATTTTCTTATGTTAAATAACTTATGTATTTAGATTTTTCTTGATCATTTTGCGGCCTTAGGGACTATCAGATTGCCTTCAATGGAGGAGGAAGACTGAGCTATTTTATGGCCCCATCTCACTTGCATCTGGCTTCTTCCTGTCCTGGTGTATTTATGTCTGACACTGGGTGACTTGGTATTATTGAGAACATGCAGTATTCTAGGATAGCTCTTTAAACCCTTCCCCCACTTTGGGGCCAGTTTAGATACAGGTTTTGCTTGCTTGCTTTTCTATAATTTTATTGTGAGTTCAATTTCAAGTTCTATACAAGTAAGCATTGCCCTGACATATTTGTGTGTGTTTCACATGTATCGTCATGTTTAACTGAAGCCTTGGTTCTCATTCTCTTCCTTCTACTTAAGTTAATTTTTTTCTGCAAGTCCGTCACAAAACTGCAACCTGAGACCTTGGAGTTTCGTGCCACACCTGTCTCCCACGTTGGACTCTGCTTGAGCTTCTTTTATTACTTCTGTAACTACAAACACAACAAAGGAGCAAAGATTTACTTTGGCTCACAGTTTCAGAGCTGTCACGCTTGGCTTTGGTTCTGTAAATTCCGGGTCCATGGAAGGGCAGTGCATCGTGGCCAAAAGGTACCTGATGGAACTTGAGCTTTTTGCCATCACGGTGGCCAGGAGACTGGGAAGGGCCGAGGGATACAGCAGCCCTGACACCCTCCCTGGCTGACCCAGGGAGGCCCCACTTCTGAAGCTTCATTGCCTTCCAAAATAGTGCCAGCAGCTGGGAAACCACTCCCCTAACAGATGAGACTTTTGAGGGGACATTTCAGATCCAAATACGATTCCATGTTTTTGAATCTTCCATCTCTTTTGATTTATTCCTGCTAGAAATTTCCAGGAAAAAGGCAAATTATCAGGAGTTCACTTTTATGAAAATGTCTACATTTTATCCTAATAGTTCATCAGTATTTTTGCTGAGCATAGTTTTTTTGGGGGGAGGGGTGATTTTCCCCCTCAAATCTGTGAAGACATTTCCCCATCTTCTTCAGCTTCAGTGGTGCCAGTGAAGTTTGTGCTACGTGTGTCCTCTTTTGTCTGACTGGTCTTTTTCTTCCTTCTGGAAGTTTCCAGGCCATCCTCTATGCTGATAGTCATTTTTGGGTCAGACAAAACTTGTAAGAGGCTTTGTACCGAATGCTTGAGGGTATTACCAGTCTGAACCTGAACAAATCTGAACTGAACTATTGGCTAGCAGCTTATCAGACCGTTTAGGAAGTCTGAGTGTAGGCCACAAGCCGGCATGAGAACTGATGTGTCCTTCCAAACTTTCAGCGACAATGTCCTGCCACACCACTCTTGCCCAGATCAGGAATGGTCAGTTTTTCTGATGGTTCATTAGAAATAATATGATAGTGTGTGTGTGTACATACGTGCGTGCGTGTGTGCATGTGTGTGTGTGTGTGAGAGAGAGAGAGAATAAGAGAGTGTATGTTCGTGTGAGTGTGTATATATATGCATGTGTGTAAAGTAATAGAGTGTACAATAATCTAATTTATCCTTACATTGGAGGTACCACCCTTGGGGTGCCCAGAAGTGACCCATTAGACTGCATCACAGCTTGGCGTAGCCTTGGACTTTGTACCTTGGCCCAGTTTCTCACAATTCTGTGGAATTCAGCTCTGCATACATCCCTGAGATCAACAGTACACGTTTTACCTTTCTAGGTTCCTGTATTCATTCAAGGCTGGGCCTAAGATCCCTTTACTTTCTTGTCTAATGGTTTATGATGATTTAGACAACCATAGGACTGGTGATTTGGTCTATGTGTGCAATCTGAGCAGCAAAGAGGCCGAGGTAGAAGAGACCCCATCCCAAGAAAACTCCTATCTTGTCCAGGAGTTTGTTTTTTTCCATGATGAAGATACATATCCTGTTGATTTCCTGGAAATGGAAGTCTATGTCCCTTTTATAATCCTGTTTCCTCATTTGAATCATGTACTGTGTAGAATAAATGAGAATGTTAATGTAAAACTAGGCCTGACACCTGGAATTAATACTGACTTTTGTTTTTTGTTAGCATTGGAGAGTGAAACCAAGGCCTCACATACTATGTAGAGTGTCTTACCATTGAACTATATCCCTAGATCTCAAAATTTTCATTTTCAGAGAGTCTCATTAATTTGATCAGGCTGGCCTTGAACTTACTCTGCAGCTTAGGCAGTATGTGATTTGGAATCCTCTTGATTCAGCCTCTTCAGTATCCTGGATTATAAGCCTGAGTCTTCATGTCTGGCTTATTTAACCTTCCTTCCCTCCCTCCCTCTATCCCTTCTTTCTTTCTTCCCCACTTTTCCCCCTGAGACAGGGTCTCTCTGTGTAGCTTTGACTGTCCTGGAGCTAGCTCTGTAGACCAGGCTGGCCTTGAACTCAGAGAGTTGCCTGCCTCTGTCTCCCAAGTACTGGGATTAAAGGGCCACCACCCACCCTGCTAACTTTTTTTTTTTAAAGTGGGATTCTCAGAATATAAATGTAAGTCACTCAATCTTACCGTTTTTTCATTCTTGGACAATTTCATATATGTGTATAATATGTTTAGATAACATTCACTCCCTTTTCCTCTCTTAACCGTGTCCCACTCCCTTTGGATGTCTGTTTTTCTAACACATTCCCCTCCTCCTTTCTCACTGTTTTAAAAATAGCCTAGAGTTTAATTAGGGCTGTTTGCTTGCATGCACACGAATGGGGGGTTATTTACCGGATCATAAGAGGCTTGTCAGTGGCTACCCACCCGAAGAAAAATGACCTCCCTGTCTCCTAGCAGCCCGTAACTGCCAATACATTCTCAGTCAGGGGTGAGCCTCAGGTGCTCCTCCTCTACCCATGATTCAACGCTGCCTGGATCTATCTTGTGCAGGGAACCATAGCTGCCGTGGGTTCATGGCTCAACTGAAACACTTGCTCGCCTTTTTATAGGTGGATATGGTGCACTAAACTGAGATGAATGTGTGAACAACGTTAGTCTTTGAAAAATTACATCTTTATTAAGAATAAATATGGTTCTTTCCATTTCAAATAAGAACCAAGTAATTAAATGTCAGGTAACCCAGATCTTAATTGAGGGCATAGAGGATGATTGGAGGGAAATCCTCAATTGATTTGTACACTCCTTGAGACAAAGTAATTTGAAAACACCCCCTTCCCCTGTAATCAAGTAAGACTCTAAAGAGATATAAAGTGAATTTTCTTCTCATTCCACAGCAGGCTGTGCTCCAATTTTATATTGTTGTAAAGTGTCAAATTGCATGAAAAGACCCTTTAAGGACTGGATACGTCCAGTCTAAGCAGTTACTTTTGCCAAGCAGCCTTTTAGAATCGGCCTTCTCTGGGTTGGTAGACCAGATCCGTGTTCCTCTCAAGGACACTTCTTTAGCAGGTGCAGTGTGATATTCTTCACAGCCAGCATGGTCTCTGTGCAGGTGGGTTTAATGAGCATTTCTGGCAGTAAAAATCCAAATTGCCCAGTGTCTCGCAGTTCAAAAGCAAAAGCATAGGGTATTCCATTTTTATAGGCCCAATCCATCGAGTTACCGGAGCTTATGTCTAAAAGTTAAAAAGAAAGATTCACTTCACTAAAGAGTCTGCATTAGTTTTCACACACACACACACACACACACACACACACACTCTGCATGTTCATGAAATAGCACGTTACTAAGAATGACGTAAGCTAGATGGCTAAGCAGGTAAACTTCTTGCTGCAGAGGACGTGAGTTCCATCATGGAACCCACGTAAAGATGGAGGGAACTGAGTCCACACACTTGTCCTATGTCCTCCACATGCATGCTGCCACATACAAAGTAATAACAAACACAACTTAAAAGAATACATTAGTAGTTCTTCGGCCTGGCTCTGGCTCATGGATCTGACAAATCACCTTTGGGATCTGGTCTGAGCACTGATGCTGTGCCAATGTGATGCTCTCAGTGTTTCTCTACTTCAGTTCCCACGGCATTTCTCTTCACCTTGCTTTGCTCACTATGTATTCACCAATGAGCAATCTCCACTGAGAACCCGCTGCTGGTCCTCTCACTCAGTTCTTTTCTTCCAAGGTCTGGGAAATTGGAATTCTGTTTCCTGAGCCTCCCTTACTTCCTTCACCTCTCCTGCCCTGCTCTCTCTCGCCTGCTGAACCCCCTTACTGCCTGTGAGTTCTGAGGACTTAAACTCTGGTCCTTATGTTTGGTGTTTATCCACTCATCCATTGAGCACCGAGCCCCCTTTTTTGTTTTTTGTTTTTGTTTTTTGAGACAGGGTTTCTCTATGTAGCCGTGGCTGTTCTGGACCTTGCTCTGTAGACCAAGCTGGTATTGAACTCAGAGATGTCCTCCTGCCTCTGCCTCCTGAGTGCTGTGATTAAAGGCATGGGCCACCACCACACGCTCTTTTTTTTTAAACAAACAACAACAAAAACAAAATCCCAACAGAGTCTCATGAAGCCCCAACCTGGCCTTGCTATATGGACTAAACTGGTCCAGAACTCACTGCATAGATCAAGGTGGCTTGTTTGTCAATCTGCTTTCCTGTACCCAAGGAGTGCTGGGATTGCAACTGTGTACTATCATGCCTGGTAACAATGTGCCTTTTAATACAATTTCCTAGGACAAGGTACCATGGGCTCATTATATGAAGAAGACAACCAAGTAACCCTGCTGCCTCTCAGCCTCCTCTGGCTTTGGCTAAGGACAGATAATGTGCTGTGGCTTCAGTGTCCCTCTGGATGGAGTACAGAGTCCAAGCAGAGGCAGCAGGTGCCAAGCATTACATCATGGTGATGTGACAGGCTCATTTCTATGGCAACAGATTGTTCTCTGTAAATACAACAGTGTGGCTATGCTTTGCACCAAAATGAACAGGGTAGCAAGACTTAGAAAGTGATTTAAAATTATCAATATGGGTATTACATCAGTATCAGTTGGTATGTGATTGATTGTAAATATTACTTTCCCCTTTCAAGTTAACTAATAAATAGCAGGTCTAAAGTCAGGCAAAGTAGTTGTGACTGGGGCAGGAGGATGGTAAATTTAAGGTAAGCTTTGGCTATATATTGACACCATGTGATAAGGCAGGGAGGGTGAGTAGGAGGGACAGAAAAAGGGTAAGTCAGAGAGAAAAGTGTGTGTGTGTGTGGGGTGGATATAGGGAGGGAAGGAAAAGGGGAGGTAGGTGGGAAGATAGATGGAGAGGGAGTTGAAACCATCTTAAAAGTTCAACACGGACCGATGATCATAGACTATGGAATAAACCCATTGACACTTGTGCCCTCCTCACTTTTAATATAAACTTATTTGACCTGTAATGTTAATAAACAAATTGACCTTTGTTGGAGAAAATAGGTATAATACAGTAAGACTATGTAAAGAAACCAAGAAGAAATTTGGCCGTATAGAGGAACACAGTCAGGTTCCAGTTACACACACAGCTTGTGATCATGCGCATGCATGACTGTGATCACATGCATGATTGTTCACTAGATTTTCCCAAGAACAACAAATTGGAGAATCCAGAAGGCCATGAAACATGATGTCATCCAATTACTCATGTTGCACTTGGAGAAATTAAAAACCAGAATTAATCAATACCCTGGCCAGGACAGCACATCCGGCAGGTTCAGGAGTAGAATCCATACCATGCAGTATCCGAGTTCTTTCCATATACTTGTCTCCATTTTATTTTATATAAAATAAATACTTTCAAATCAATCTTCAGGAGAAAATGGATATGAAGACGCAATATGCGGAATGGCATTTCATGACAGGAGTGGTGGAGATAAAGAGCAAAGGGGAGCTGTTGGAGAGCTGAGACATTTACCTCATTATCTTCCTGAGGCCATTGCCACACTTACAGTACTCACAAATTGCTCAAGGAGCCCATTTTGGCACTTTCCACTGTCAGGGGATCTCAATTCAACTTCCAGTCTTTACTGCATGGTTAGCATAGTCTCTGCTTAGAATCGCTTTAAATTGGTACCCTGATTTTTGTCAAGCTGTAGGAAACAAATCAGGTATCAGCTCTTCTCATCTTCTCTGGCTAATCTGATCATCACAAATTTTGCTTCAGGGATAAAATTAAAGGGAAGTCATGGCCCAGGATATTGGTTCAAGAGAGATGACTCTATGCAAAGTGCACAGGAAACTTACACAACGTTTGGGAGGCAGGGCCATGTCTGTACCGTATCCCGTGTGCGGACCGAAGGGCCTTCACAGCTTTGTGAGCTGCGATTTCCTGGGGAGGGGTGAAATGGAGAAACCGTGTCACTTATATTGCTGCATTGAAACTTCTAGAAACACTGGCATATTGCTTGAACCTTTTGGCGGTCAACAGAGAGATAGCAGAGAGGGCTCATTAGTTAACAGATAACTTGTGATGTTAATAGTACACTTTACAGCACACTTTATTATTTTCTTTTACAGCTCTGAGGATCAAAGCACATTTTAGAACATATCTTTTGATTGGTTGGCCCTCATACAAACCAACGATAAACAGCAGTTCTCCTTTATAGATGAGAAAAGGAAGGCTTAAGTGAAGTTAGATGAGTATCCTGGGGTGGCCCAACAAAGATTGGGTAAGCACTCATATTTCCTGAAGTTGCTTATATGTTCAGGAGCACTTATTTCTGTGCATTAAAAAATATTTGACAGGGCCGTGACAATGTCAGTCTAATCTCTAATTCACATCCTGTTCTTAGCAACATGTCTGTATATATAACAGCTACTTAATCGATATTTTTCATAGGAATGTTGAAGAAGCCTAAGTCTGCAAGAGTATTCAGACAATTATATTGATCCACCAGTATATATTTCAGTAGGTATATACAGATACTCCAAATGCATCTGGATCAATTAAGAAACCACCAAGGAAGACTGACTATCTTTATGCCATGTGTTTGTTCCCACTGGGACCAAGAATATCATTGCAATGACACTTCCTGACTTCTGAGGTTGCAGAGCCTCCCTCAAAGCTAAGTCAAGCTGCTGCAAAGATGCAGAAAGTTAGGGAAGAAACAACAACAACAACATCAACAACAACAACAGCACACACACACACACACCTCAAAATGGTCAAAATCATAAATGGTAGACAGTCTAGCAGACTAGTTCTGTTCTTTAAAACCTTTTCAGACGATACCAAAGGACTAGTTTTAGGACAGGTATTAGATGACAAATGAGAGGAAAACAAGTGTGTAGAAACTAGCACACAACTCTCCCATTTCAATTTGCCTGTGAATAATTTAATACTTCATTTGAGGCACCCCAGGGAACATGGTGGTGTGTGGTGGAGTGAGCCTCAGGTTGCTGTCCTTGTTAAGCTCACGAATACATGTGGCATTGTTTGTAGCTTTGTGGCTACTCCAGGACAGGTCTCCAGGCACTGGCAGACCATTTCAAAGTGATCTCACTGATGGTGACATTCTTACAGAAGCCAATGGAAAAGAAATGTAAACATTGTCTTGAGGAGTCTATGGAAAATTTCAATATTGTTTCCAATAGTTTTTGCATTATTCTATGGCAAATATAGATGTTTCTACAATTAGAAGATTACTGTATTTTGCTGGTCAGGAGACTTGTGTTTCATTATTTTTGATGACTATGAAAAAATATTTTAAGAAACAAAGCACCACTTTGCTTATTTAGACAAGATATGTGCACAGTTTTAACTGCTATTATATCAAGATGGGATGCAAAAGAATGGAAGTCATTGTGGAATTTTCAAACATGCATCATAATACTTGGTTATAATTCATCCTTTCCCCCTATCTTCCCTGTCTCTTCCCCCCATTGACCTCCCTTTTCTACTTTTATGCCACATATATTGCATTACTCTCTCTTCCCCCTTAAGATCTCTTCCCCTATTTTCATGGAGTTTCATAACCAGTAAGAACACCCATCCACACCCCTCTCCCCCCAAAGGTTTTTAGATTGAGATCCTTCCTATGAGAGAAAACAGGAGGCATTTGTCTTTCTGAGTTGGCTTGTTTTGTACCATAATGATGTTTAGTTTTACTGTTTTTTTCTTGCAAATGTCATGTTATTTCTTTATAGCTGAATATGTCTATGGAGTGCATTTTCTTCATTCATCTGTTGGTGGGCATCTAGGCTGGTTCCATATCCTGGCTATTCTGAATAGAGCAGCAATGAACATAGATGTTGATTTAGTCTCTAGGGTACATGCCCAAGAGCAGTCTAGCTGGCTCTTGCGGTAGTTCTATTTTTAGTTTTGGGGGAATCTCCACATTGGCTTCCACTGTGGCTGTGCCAGTTTATGGCACCACCAACAGAGTACAAAGGTTGGTTTTTCACTGTATCATTGCCAGCATTTATTGTTGGTTTTCTTGATGATAGTCATTGCCTTGACTCTCAAGGCAATTTTAAACTCTCCTAAGTGTCAACACTATGGTTGGAGGGGTGCAGCTGTCAGTATCAAGGCACACCCCTGGAACTTCAGCACATCCGGCTGTACGACAGCGAATGACAGATAGGTCAGTCGACCAGGGTTATTGTCAGTACATGGATTTACTCCCACTGCTGAGGATGGGGCTGTCTTTGCCTGCCTCCTCCCTTAGCAGAACCCCTTGCAACCTACACTTTTTTTGTATTGTCTGTGTGCTCCCCAACTGCCTCCCAGGGTTGTCTCTCACCTTGGGGCTGTGGCAAGCTAGATTCAGTCTCCCTGATTTGGGGCTGTTGTCTGTTTTCAGGTCCTCAGCAGGGTGTGCCCAGTCACAGAGTCACAGAACAGAATTCCTTTCTGTTGTGCACATTCCCACAGCTGGCTTTGAGGTTTGTGAGTGTGGGTCTGTCTGGCAGAAGCCCCCAGTCTCTTCGCCGGGGCCCCCTGGCTTTCCTTACAGATGAGGCTACTATCCCTGCCACACTGTATCCCTTACCCCATCCTATCCCATGTTTATGCTGGTATCTTACTTTTTACTATGTCACTATCCATCTCTCTGCACTTACCCGGTATAATACCATGATCTGTGAGAATTTTAAAGCTCTTCTTCTCTTTAGGATGGAGTCCACTTTTCTTATTCTGACTCTTGTCTTTGACCCGGTCAAATGGTGGCAGCTTTCTGGCTGCCATTTTGCCCGGAAGTCTAGTTCTAAGTTCTTCGAGTTCAGTGCTCTGGTGTTCTGGGGCACATTCCTTGTGGATAAGTGCTTTGGATAGGATCTATCCACAAAGAGTGGGCATTTCATCTTTTCCCCAAAAATTGTTTTCATGGTGGACCAGTTAGACACTCGCTAAAAGGGATCGCTCTTCTTTTCAGCTGTCCAAAAGGATATTTGTTGTTCCTCAGCTAAGCAAGAAGACGTTTTATTGAAATATTTCCATATTCAAAGGAGTTTAATGGACGACCTTAAAAAGTTATCAGAAGCACAGACTCTTCTTACATATTGGTGGAATATTTTAAAGAATTTAAATAGGATTGTAATGATTTCTTACTAACACTCAGGGATTTCTCAGTTTCTGAAAATTTTTCATCTTTGATTTAGTGATTTAGCTTATACTTAGTCCATTCCAGATTTCTCTCCCTCACTCCATATACCTTTGTATTGTAAGTATGTGTGAAGTATGTTGTGGTATATGTGCTTCTGTGTGTGTGTGTGTGTGTGTGTGTGTGTGTGTGTTAGGGGTTTCTTCTATCACTCTGCCACATCCTTTTGAGGCAGGGGTCTCTTCCTGAGCTAGGAACTCAGTTGTGTTTTGGCTAGCCAGTATGCCCCAGCAATTTTCATATTTCTGTCCCTCAAAATGCTGGGGTTATAGACGTATATAAGATTTTTACATGAGTATTGGGGATCTGAATTCAGGTCCTCCTGTTTGTACACCAAGCATCCTTAACCTTTGAGCCATTATCTTGATAGTCTCTACCCCAGATTTAAAAACAATGTCACTCTTGACTTGTGGATTGAATGCTGAATTGTTGTGGTTGGGGTGGGGGTGGGGTTCAGTTCTGTGCATTTCAGCATGTTTAACAGTATCCATGGCCTTTACTCCATAGATGACAATGGCATCCCCCATCCCTATTGTAGCAGTCTAAGAAAGTGAGTTGCATTATGAATGGCAATAATTTGGTTTATTGTGCCATGGTAAGAGAAACCTGTAATATCCCTAGACAATGGGGTCTAAAGTCTTCTGGCTTGGTGACCATATAGGTAGTGCTGGAAGGAGACAGGCTCTGAGACCTCCTGCCTCTGCTGAGCCTTGCATCATGCATGCTTTCTCTTTGACTATTCCCGGGTTATGTGTTTTATATGTTGGTAACAGTGAGTAAAGCATTTCTCTGGGATCTGTGAGTTGTTCCAATAAATTATAGAAACGGAAGAGGCAGGTCCTGGGAACCTTGGACTCTAACTACACAAAAGTGTGGAAATCCCCTGCTTGAAGTTGGTCTCTGGGGGTGGATGCCATCTCATGGGACTTCATTCTTAACTTGTGAAGTCTGATGGCCACTCTGGGTAGTTAGTGTCAGAACTGAAATTGATTTGTCCACTTGGTTGGGGTTGGAGGAATGATGTTGGAAAAGGCACCACACATTTAGTGTCAGGAACTGAAGAAGAAACAACCACAAGCATTAAGTTTACAGCTCAGTAAAAGATCGCAAATTGAACATATATGCCTATAACCTTCCAGGTCAAGGGATAGAATAACAGCGATAACTCAGAACTCCTGTGCTTCCCCTGGTCACCCCACCCCTCCCTTTCCCCCACAGGTAATTGCTGTTTTGACTTCTAACAGTATTTATTAGTTTTCCTTGGCTTTGAACTTTGCTATAGGCTCTGAAATGGCTCCCTTAATGGTGAATTATGTCCTGTAGGGAGTAGCTTGTTGCATTTGTGAGATAAGGGAAAGGAGTCCCATCTTGTCTTTTTGCCTTTATGCACTCTAGCCCTGAAAGTCCAGCCATCCTTAGCAATGTATGTTAGCTATAAGCCCAGAGAATTTGCAGCGTTAAACAAGCAACACTTAAAAATTAAAACTTGTTTTTAATTATTGAGTCAGACTATAATTTATGAATAATTATTGAGTCAATAAAGTTAATTACAGCCTTGCATATGAGACCAAAGCTATAATATTAATCAAATCCACCCTGACCTTTTGTGTATAACCTGTGGTAAGAATGTAAAATAGGTTTGAAATGATTGCATTTGGGAAGCAGAATAGCAGTTAAAAGCAACAATCTTGGAGCTAGACTTGGGGCTGAGACTTGACTGTGACTCTGAGAGTTCTTAGCTTAATGTTCTCAATTTTCTCATCTGTAAAATGGGACTAAGAAAATTTATAAAGAATAAACGAGTTCACGGCTATAAAATACATGAATAGACACGTTTGCTTCTACCACTGGTACTCAGAAGCACAGCCTCAGAAAGAAGACCACAAAGCATGACACACACATATGTGAACACATACGTACCACACAGCCAAAATTGGGGATGGTTGCGTGTTTGTAAGAGTAGGGATACAGCAGCATCTGTGCATAGGCGTGGAAGGAGAGGTATGCCCTGACGTGTTTCCTGTGTTGTCGGAGGAAGTCAGCCACAGCCTTCACCTCTGGCTCAGACTCTGGGAAAGGACCACAGTAAGTATCATCACAAGGGTGTGCAGAGGCGCCTTCATCTGCAGGTCAGAGAAGAAAACGTGTTGGGGGTCCAGGCAGGGAAGAAACCAGAAACACAAACAAGCATTGTTAAACTGGGCCTCTTCTTATTTCTAAAAATTGGTGATATCATTAAGTAATCCAATTTCTCATTACGGAGATGAATAATGCACACTCTGAGCGGATCCGAGTCCGTGCACTGCAGGAGGGCGGGTGTGGGCCAGGCGCTGAGTGTTTAAAGCTTTAAGGGACACTTTGAGTGAACATCTCTCTCAGCTGTTAGTTCTCTTGTCAGAGAAATAATTCTGTGTAATCCCCTCCAGCAGGCTAGGCTTCTCATTTATATGCCCCACAACACCTGTACTTTCTTTTCATAACATTGACCGCACATGTAATTAGTGTTCAATATTTAGCTCCTTAACATTCAGGCAGTGTTTACACTGCCCTGGAAGCCTGGGATACAATGGAAGAAACAGAAAAAGAACCTTCATTGCCAGGGATTTTTGTTGAACTTTTACCTCTTGCAGGATACCTAGCAGCCAGGACAGTTATGCAAAAAGTGCCCTACACATGTTTATTAAAGAACTCAGTGTCCAGTGGTAAGAAAAGGGCAGACATCTGAAAAAGTGTCTGACAACACACAGATCTTGATAGAGCAAGAACACGCAGACAGGACAGAACACATGGCTACCCCAAGTCCATTGCATTTGTAGATCAGAGATGTCTAGACCGGTTTATAAAAACCCAGGGTACTTCTCATCTCGGGGATCCACTGTGTTAAAAAACCCCAAACTAAATTTTATTTATTTATATTAATCTTAAGCTCCCAACTGTCCTCCCTTAGCCTCTGCGGGCGCCAGGATTACTGGTGTGAGCCACCATGTTTGGCTCACATCTTATTTTTTAACATTTTTCAATACCATTTTGTACAGAGAAGGCTTATTAAGAGGCCTATGGAGGGGATGGAAAGAGCTAAGCAGCTCTAAAACACCTACAAGGCACTGCTGTTCTAAGAAAACAACGCCTGCCTCTTCAGTCACTTAACTCATGGCTTAATGCACGGCTTGAGTGAATACAGTTGAACAAATTAATGACTTGGTTTGAAGCATTCACAGAAGGCATAAAAGGCTGGAAAAATGAGACAGAAATAAAAGAATGTGAGAAGTAGAATAAATATCAACGTGATTAATAGGGGGCCTAGAAGGACAGAAGAAAAACAAACATTTGAAGAAACAGTAATTAAAATTTCTCCACGATGAATGGAAAATTAAACAGACATTACTTACCAAACAAAAGACAGATGGGGGAAAATATGAATACTTGGACACAATCAAGTTTAAGGAAAGAAAATAATTCCAGGGAAAAATATAAGATATTTAGAAAAATAACTAGAGACAGATTAACATTTGACTTTGAAAATATTCTTATTTTTTCTGTATGTGTGTCTTTGTGTGTGTGTGTGTGTATGTGTGTATACCAAGTTCTTCCCTGGTATCAGAAAAGGGCACAAAAGGTTGCCAGATTCCTTGGAACTCAACTTAAAGACCAGACTGAGCTGCTGTGTGGGTGCTGGGAACTGAACTTGGGTCCTCTGCTGCAACAGCAAGTGCCGTTAACCACCGAGCCTTCTCTCCAGCCTTGACATTTGAGATTTTAGCAGTAGCTTCAGGACTCTTGTATCTATTGGTGTCTTTTTTCTTTTGGTGTTGGCATCAGATCCAGAGCCTTGGAAGTATGCCACCCCTGAGCTATGTCTCTAGCCCTTGATTTTTGCACAGGGATTTGACATGTAATCCATCTTGCTTTCAAATTCTTCATTCTCCTGCCTCCACCTCAGGGCTGCACACCTCACTTGGATTCAAAATTCTGTTTTGTTTTTAAAAGGAAATTTGAATCTTGAATTTTATCTAGCTGATCTCTACTGAAATGTGAAAGTGGGATAAATATGTTCTCTGGCATAAAAGGCTCCAGAAGTTATACTGTACACTGATACTCTTTGAAAAATTCCTGGGGAAAATGTTTCAACAAAGTAATACAATAAAAGTTATCTTTGATTTTTTTATGGTTAGTTCTTTCTTTAAATTTAAATTAGAAACAAGCTTACTTTACATGTCAACCCCAGCTCCCTCTCCCTCCTTTCTTCCCCCGCCCCCCCAACCCTCTCCAAACCCTCATCCATTTCCCCCCCACTCCACTCCCCAGGGAGGGTGAGACCCTCCATGGGGGATATCCAAAATCTGTCATATCATCTAGAGCAGGACCTAGGCCCTCCCCCATGTGTCCAGGCTGAGAGGGCATCCCTTCATGTGGAATTGGCTCCCAAAGTCCATTCATATGCCAGGGATAAATACTGATCTACTACCTGAGGCCCCATAGATTGCTGAGGCCTCCTTACTGACACTCAAATTTAGAGGGTCTGGATCAGTCCCATGCTAGCCTCTCAGCCATCAGTCCAGGGTCCGTGAGCTCCTCCTTGTTCAGATCAGCTGTTTTTGTGGGTTTAATGAGCCCGGCCTTGACCCCTTTGCTCATCACTCCTCCCTCTCTGCAACTGGGTTCCAGGAGTTCAGTTCAGTGTTTAGCTGTGGGTGTCTGCCTCTGCTTCCATCAGTCGCTGGATGAAGGTTCTGTATCCTAGACTCTCTGGCAGTGGGATTGTATGCTGGTAATCCCTTGCTCCATGTCTAAATTCCATATATGAGTGAGTACATACCATGTTTGTCTTTTTTGTGACTGGGTTACCTCACTCAGGATGGTTTCTTCTAGTGCTATCCATTTGCCTGCAAATTTCAAGATTCCATTGTTTGTTTGTTTTTTCCAGTGAGTAATACTCCATGGTGTAAATGTACCACATCTTCTCTATCCACTCTTCAGTTGAGGGGCGTCTAGGTTGCTTCCAGGTTCTGGCTATTACAAATAATGCTTCTGTGAACATAGTGAAATAGATGTCCTTGTATGAATGCGCATCTTTTGGGTATATGCCTAAGAGCAGAACTGCTGGAACTTGTGGTAGACTGATTCCCATTTTCCTGAAGAACTGCCATACTGATTTCCAAAGTGGCTGTACAAGTTTGCACTCCCACCAGCAATGGATGAGTGTTCCCCTTTTTCCACATCCTCTCCAGCACAAACTGTAATTGGTGATTCTGACAGGAGTGAGATGGTATCTCAGAGTTGTTTTGATTTGCATTTCCCTAATGGCTAAGGATGTTGAGCATTTTCTTAAGTGTCTCTCAGTCATTTTAGACTCCTCTATTGAGAATTGTCTTTTTAGTTCTGTACCCCACTTTTTAATTGGATCCTTTGGTGTTTTGGAGACTTGCTTCTTGAGTTCTTTGTAAATTTTGGAGATCAGCCCTCTGTCAGATGTGAGGTTACTGAATATCTTTTCCCATTCTGTGATCTGCCTTTTTGTCTTGTTGACTGTGTTAAAAGTTATCTTTTAAAAGTGTACAATTCAGTTCTTTTAAAGATAATTATTGAGCTGTGTAACTGCCACTATCTAATTCTAGAACGTTTCACATTACTCCAAAAGCGTTACGTCACTAATGTGTATAGCTAATATAGGTGAGTCAAAAATTAAAAAAAAAATCAAATTTAAAATATAAAATTTCTAAAACATTCTAAGAAATACAAAATGGTGAGAGATGGAGTTTGGGGATCAGAGGAAGTAAAAGTATGCTGAAATCCTGTATTATTTAAAAAATTTATCTTAGCATATATTATAGATAATAATGGCTTTCATTATGACATTTCCCTACACACGTATAATATATTTTGATTATATATTCATCTTCAATTACCTTCCCTTGTCTCCCTCTCACTCATGTTGATCCCGTTTGTCTTCCCAACTTCAACTTACTTCTACTTCTGTCTTCTTTCTTTCTTTCTTTCTTTCTTTCTTTCTTTCTTTCTTTCTTTCTTTCTCTCTCTCTCTCTGTCTTTCTTTTTTTATTCATGCATGTGTGTGAAACAAATTGCTTAATTAAAGTTATATACAGGAGCATGGACAACTTGTGAACCTTTGAGGAAAATGCTTCTTCCTCCCCCAGCAACCATTAACTGCCAATATTGACCATCAACCTCAGGGATGGCTATGGCTTTGTAAGTCTCCCTCCCCCTAGCAACCATTAAATAAACACCAATTCCTTCTCACCCTTTCTCCCCCATCAGTTGAGAGGTCAGGTGAGCTCCTCTGGAAGGTTGATGGACCCAAGAAGACTGGTCTTATTTTGAAAGGAGATGTAGATATTGATTAAATTTAGAAATTGATGCTGAAAAGTTTAAGTGTGGGGCTTGGGAATAACAGAAGAAAATTAGAACATAAGCTCACGATTAACAGGAGCCACTGAAATGCTTAGCAGAAAATATGAAAGGAGAAAAAGCAAACAGTGGAGAACAGGGCAGGAATAAGATGGCAGAAACAAGTCTCAAGGTAGCATTGATTACAAAGATATTTTCCTGCAGAAAAAAAGTAAGACCCAGGAATACCATACCAATGCAATGAAGCTGTAGAAGAAACAGCAGATGTCTACTTAAAATACTGCGGCAGCTTGGTGCCTCCTAGGCTCTGAAGTGCTGCTCATTGGTTGGATTCATGCAATTGAAACACTACTTTTGCAGTTCTTGAGATGGGCAGTGTAAAATCAAGACATTGGCAGAGCTGCCCTCCCTCTGCATGCTCTCAGGAACAGTCCTTCCTTGCCACTGCAGCTTCTCTGGGTTCCTGCCATGCTGGTTTGTAGATGTGCTACTTCACTTTCTGACCCCTCTGCCACATGGTCTTTATTATGGTTTGGATACAAAATGTCTTCCATAGGCTCAGATGCTGGTCATGGGAATTTTAGGAGGAAGTAGATCTTTAGGAAATGCTGTCCCTAGCCCTTGCCTCTCCCCTCTCCCTCTCCATTTCTTGTCTCCTATGAATATGCTCCTCTACCACACACTCTTTCTGGTGTGATGTTCT